CCGCCCCTGAGCCTCTGGCCTGTATCTCAGTTCTGTATGCACAAATAAATAAATCTTAAAAAACAAAAAAACAAAAAAAAATCATATTTCTGGGGGAAATATGGCAGAGAGGGAAACTTCTTACAGGACTTAAACAAAATTCATTTTTGTATAATTTTCATTTTTATTAATTCTGGGGCATCAAAACGCTGAACAATGTGTGTACCCTGTGAAGCAAAACTGTCTGGCTCATCCTATAGGAAAACTTTCTGCAAGCATGTATTTCTTAGGAACTGTGAGCATGCAAGAATACGTTTACTCCTATTCACACACTAGCACCTTCACTAGTTACCTCACAGAGGCCAGGGCCCCACAAGTCCTCAGGCCATGAGCAGAATGGATCTAGAGAGAGACACTAAGAAATTCCACTCTAGAGCTGACTCCATCCAATCTTCCTAGAAACCCCCGCCCCGCCCCCCTCCCCCATCCGGCTCCCCAAAATGACCACATGAAGGGAATTCAGAATTGCATCCTAAGAGCCCCAGGCAGCCAGCAACCTGCAGGCTGATAACGCTAAGAGCTACAAGTTCCCCTAAAGCCCAGGGAACTTCAGCCCCACATGGGAAGGAGCCCGAGATCTCTCAAGGCCGTTGAGAGCTAAATTCAGCCCAGGACACCTTGTAATGAGTAACTTTCTGGAATGCTCTACCACTAGAGGGAGGCACAGCGGGGGAGGAGCATAAGCATAAACTCCGCTTAAATCTGCGCCAGCGTCTGGTTTTCCAGCCACCAGTAACCTTGACTCTCTGCCCCACTCCCTGAGCTCAAGAAGCCTGAGTTCAGCTGCGAAAGCCCTTCTCTTACCTCCGACTGGGCACATTCAAATTTGACCAAAATGGCTGCAAGTTCACTTTGGGTGTTTTCGGCCACATTCCGGTAGTGGTTTAATTGCTCTCGAGTGACAGGGATTTCCAAAAGACGCTCGTGAGCTTCCTGGTAAGGTTTCCCCAGAAGACAAAACATAAAGAAAAGTGATAAACAGTCTTTGCTAAAAGCACAACGGTGCAAAGTCAGATGAAGCACAGAAGCATTGTGTTGTGATCTGAACGTGTCAAAAATCACTACCCTGATGAAAGCTTTTGTTCAGGTCATTTTCCTCATTCTCAAGATTCTCAGGGAAGCAGGAGGCGGCCGAAGGAAGGAGGCGCTGGCCGGGGGTTGCTGCTCTGGGCCACCCTCCACCCCCAACTCCAGTGGATCTGACCTCTTCCCAGACATGTGAGTCCACACAGAACTACAAAGAGGGGCGACCTGGCCCTGAATTACAGGGCAGTTTGAACTATTCTTCTGTTTCCAAATCACAAAGCTTATCCGCTCATCTTTGGAAGACTGTTTGGGCTGTTTATCACAGAAATCATGTGCACTAAATATAAGCCGGCCTCCGTCCTAACTCTCCAATGTGCCCTTTCTTCTCACTTCACAACCTCTCCTGGGGCCTTGGAGGTGACTCGGATGGGTGCCTGAGCTCAGAGACAGCGGTGGTGCATGCAGAAGGGCGAGGTAACATGACGTGTGCCCAGAGGCCTTGTCCATCCGGAAGGGAAGAGCCCACAGCTGCTGGGGACAGCTACTGCAGGAACAGGGATCCCGGAGCTGCCAGATCCATCCACCCCTTCAAGACCATATATCCACACTTTCTGAGTAAAATCTCCCAGGTGTGGCGACTTGGCAAGTGTTTGAAAAAGTGTGAGCCAGAGAAACACCTGCAAGTGGATGTGATGACTTTGGCCAGCGGCCTCCCGCCCGGCTCTGTCCTGCTCATCCCTAAGCCCTGCCTCCTTCAAGAGTCGCTCCTGAGCATGGACAGAAAGCCCTACCCACGTGTGAAGTTTCCAGACCTATGGTCCCTTGTGAAAGACACACAAGGATGCAATTCATTGCTGAAGGGCTATAAAAGGGGTCACATAAGGAAAGGCTTCCTGGAATATGTCAGTGGCCTGAGGGAACGGGCCAGTCAAACCTGTTTATGACTCCTCAGCTCTTCAGCTGCTGAGGCTACTGTTTGGAGTAATCATGAGTGCAGAAGTCATCTTACAGTCCTAACACACGTTGTCAAGACAAGTGTGTTTCAATCCACAAACAAAGCCAAACAAAAGCTTTAGTGCACTTAGTAACCGTGGTGGTTGCCAATCTCCACATGGTCAAGAGGATGGCAGAGCTGTCCTCCTGGGGAGAAAGTATAAACCGTTTAACTGTGTCTAATGAAAGAACCACATCCTGTTCAGCCTCTCCCAGTATTGGGAAAGAGCTCCTGCACCGAGCCACCGCGGCTGAGCTTTCTGAAACAGACCAAGACCTGGCTCTGTCAGGGGAGAGGCTGGAACTCCTGTCTGGATAGTATATGACTCTGCAGAATTCATCAGGGAAATATGTTGTTCTGTGGCTGTGATTTCTTTCAATGATTAGTATCATGGTCCAGGAAATGACATAAACATACCTTTGTATCCCCTTATGAAAAAATATTGTGTCTGTTGGAAATAATATTAAAAGTCACATGAAATTGTTCGGAAATGACTTTTGGAAGGAAGGAAGGGAGGAAGGCAGGATGGGAGGAAGGAAGGGAGGGAGGGAGGGGGGAGAGAAAAAGGAAGGAGAGGAGAGGGGAAGGGACCGAGAGCAGGGGAGCACAGGGAGAGGAGGGGAGGAGAGGAGCAGGGAGGCAGAGGCTTCTAGGAGCTTTCAGTCGAATCAAGAAGGCTACCGGCCCTCCCTGGTGGCGCAGCGGGTTAAAGCACAGCACTAAGAAGCTAAAGCCACTTCTGCATGAGTTCGATCCCTACCTGCCCCGGAGGTGACCACATGGCGCGGCAGACCTCTCCTGACCCGCCCGCTGCTCCCCTCAGCAGTGTACTTCGTCGATCTGCCTGTTCTGCTCCCCACTCTGTCTCTGGTGAATCCTCTCATTGCCCCTGCACTTCTGGCCTGTACCCCAGGTCTGTATGCAGAAATAAATAAATTGAATTTAAAAAAAAAAAAAGAATGCTACCAAAAGTCCTATCATCTTCAAATTGAGTCAAAGAAACTACCCCTGAAGATATCACTACCTCTGACAAGGGGGCAGCGCTAATGTTAGAAAGACTGTTGATTATTGAATTTAGAAGCCAGTTGCTAGATCGAAATCATACTTCCAAGTCCAGCAGTCCACAGATACTCCATCAACAAATATTTATTGAAAGCCTTACCCAAGGTCAGGCATTGAACGTCCTGGCTCATAAGAAAAAGCATGTATCAAACAACCACACTGGTGACTGCATAACTACAAACTGAAATAAATGAATGGAAAGAAAGATAAAAAAGAAACTGACTTAAGATGAGGGACGTAGGAAGTAAAGATTTCCCTAAAGAAGGGAAGATTAAATAGGAATTAAATAGGCAAGAAGTACTGAAGCAGGAGCGACACACATCATTAAAAAGCAAAACACGGCCCTCCCTGGTGGCGCAGCGGGTTAAAGCACAGCACTGAGAAGCTAAAGCCACTTCCGCATGAGTTCGATTCCCACCTGCCCCGGAGGTGACCACATGGCGCGGCAGACCTCTCCTGACCGCCCGCTGCTCCCCTCCGCAGTGGACTTCGACAATCTGCCTGTTCTGCTCCCCACTCTGTCTCTGGTGAAGCCTCTCACCGCCCCTGAGCCTCTGGCCTGTACCCCAGTTCTCTATGCACAAATAAATCTTAAAAAAAAAAACACCTGAGCTAAGGTCCTGTGGCAGAAACACACCCTGGGTGATCAGGGATCAAAGAAAAAGCAGAGGATCAGAGACACCATGGGCAGATGACAGCCGTGGCGGCTGTGAGCTTATGGACGTATTTTAGTAGCTGGCAGGACTGGTACGTATAGGACTTTTGCAGAATATTTCTGACTTTTCTTGTGCGTTTTCCCATGTGAAATTTAAAATCAGCTTTTCAAATTCTAAAATAAAATTTTAAAAAATCCCTGGTCTGTTAATGTTATAAAGTTAAGAACTGACATCTTTCAAATGTTAAGTCTTCCAACTAAAATCTTTTCTCCCCCACTGGTCAGGAATTCTCCTATGTCTTAGTAGCTGCAATGTGTCACAGCTTGACTGGACCACAGAGTGCCAGATACCTAGTTAAATATCCTCCGTGTGTCCCGGATGAGTTAACACAGGAGTCAGTATGTCCTCCCCAGTATGGGGGAACTCGTCCGTGGAAGGCCTAGTCAGAACAAAAAGGTTAGACAAAGACATCATTTGCTTCTCTGGCTGAGCATCTTCAAACTGGAACTGCCTTCTGTCTGGCCTCGGCCTCACCCTGGAACTCCCACCGCGGGCTCTCCTGGGTCCTTCTAGCTGCCCATTGCAGACCTTCAGGGGGGCTCAGTCTCCATTACCACAGAAGCCAATTCATCATAAATATCTTTATATATGTTATTTTTAGAAACATACATCTTATAAGGCCTCTTTATTTATAAACTGTAAATAAGGAGAGTCCCAGTGTAGCACAAAATCCATTCCTTCAAGACTCTGCAATAGCTTGATGAGAAAAACAGCCAGCCACAGGGCCTTCCCTGCTGGCCTAACAGGTTAAAGCGCAGCACTGTGAAGCTATCACCATCCACTGCAACACGAGTTCCATCCCTGGCCCCAGAGGTGACCCACAAGGAGCAGCAGGCCTCTCCTGACCGCCCGTTGCTCCCCTCAGCAGTATACTTCGTCAGTCGGCCTGTTCTGCTCCCGACTCTGTCTCTGGTGAATGCTCTCACCGCCCCTGCACCTCTGGCCTGTACCCCAGCTCTGTATGCACAAATCAATCTTTAAAAAAATAACAGCCAGCCACAGCATAAGAGGATGATAGGGACAAGGAAAGACAATGAGAAAGAACACTTCAATTTCTCTGTGGCTGAGGTTTTCCTCTTGGTCCTTCTCTGCCCCCTGGATCCATGCGTGTCCTTCCAGACAGTCTTCAACTTGCTATTTGAGAGCATCATCGGTGCGCCCTGCTTTCTGGGTTTGCTGTGGATTTTCAGAGTCTTGCACTGTGCTCAGAGAGGTGCCTGGGTTGATATTGGTGTGTCGGGGAGTTCTCCTATAACCTCTCACTACTGGGTCCATCCAGCCTGGAAGGTGCCCTCATCTTACCAGTCACCACGCATTTCACCATCATTCTGATCGCCATTATTTCAACTTTGAGGAATCTGTTGAGGTTTTCGTGAATGCTCAGCTTTATGAATGTCCCTTCGAAGGTCACTTCGAGAATAGGTAAAGTTTTTGCCTGTGGGACTTGAAACTCCACAGGTTTCAATACCTTACTCATTATTTCAGTTAGGCCTGTCAGCTTCTCTAATGTCCCTCCAACTCTGTCACGAAGTGAGGGCGGTGAGTTAAAGCCTCCTGTTCATGCTATGATTCTGTCACCAAAGAAAAATGTTAACTGCGGTTATCTTCTAGTTATAAGATTAGATTTTATCTTCTTCTTTGTTATGTATTTCTGTATTTTCCAAATCTTTTCCAATCACCCTGTATTACTTTCATAGCCAGAATAAACAACCCCACCATAAACTTTTTTAAAGGAATTAGGACAAGGATAGATAAACACACAAACCCTGCTATTTGCTGTTTTTAAAAGAGCAGAAGGACAAAGGAACAACCTAGAAGAGTCAGCGTGAGTGGGAGCAGGCCGTTCCTGGGTTTGCTCCTTTTATTAAGCCCTCCTGTCGTTAGCAAAATTTTTAGAAAACTTCTCCACTTCTTCTATAAGTACTGAAAAACCTTAACTTCTCAAAAAAACTAATTTTACCCTATTCAAAATGGCAAGATTAAAAACTGACCCATTTGTCCTCACACAGGGACAATCTAAGTTATTAGGTTATCTCTCAGCTAACCCAGGAAGCAATTTTATATTAATTTAGAAAGCAAACTACATATGATTTGATTCTGCTACTGATATTATTATCATAATGATTGAAATTGCCTCATGGGGCGGCTCATAGTCTTTTCCGAATAAAGATGGTTTCTACTCAATGGCATAAAGAAGAGACACGCTTATTCATAATCCCGCACACAATGGGCCCCATTATCTGACCTGGGGAAATGTCCTAGGCCAGTCTTGCCACTGTGGGATTTAGTTGTCTTATTATCGCATGGACAAAAAAAAAATGAGAAGAAAATCACTGCCTACCTCTGACACACAAAAGCTCCCAAACCCATCCTGACCTGTCCACCCGTTACAGATCGCCCCTTTGTTCCAGCACAAGTCCTCGCTGCGAGCACGCAGCCCCGCCAGGTTTATCCATTATGGAATCAGCCTTCAGTCCCTCTCTTCAGCTCCAGCCTGGCCGAGGGAGCAAGCCTTCAAGACCCTCTGCCCTGGTCTCCAAATTCTTCCCACCAAATAAAGCTGCTTCCCTCCTTGACAGAGCATAAATTAAGTCTTGCAAACTGTAACCTAATCAGTGTTCCAGCAGATTTTGGCCAGTTCATCCATTCTCCCAACTTTGAAAGACGCTCTTCACTCTCCACTTTCCTTTCTCCCCATATCTCTATTTGGTTTCTGGGCTCACTAGGATCTGCAGAGACTATTGTGGGGGGGCGTATAGGGGGTGTGGAATCCAAGAACAAACCTGAATATCTATATCTTGATGATAATGGGGAAAGATTCAGAGGCTGTTTTCTGCATAAAATCAAGTTTAGTGGAAAAGCTGATCTATTATTTTTACACTGATGTCCCATTCCTGTTCTCTCAGGTAACATTCTTAGTCACATAAAAAAGCTTTCTAAATAACAAAAATAATGAACAACCATATACCAGAGACATTTTGTGGGGGTGGAGTGGGGAATGGGGTCAAAAATGGTGGTGGGAGAGAAATGCACGGGATTATGGTGATGGCACAGGGGTGATTTGGTGATGGGAAACCTGCGAGGATTACAATCGAGATGGAAAAAAAATGTACAAAATGATGTAAAAATAAACTTTTGTAATAAAAAAATAAATAAAAAAGAAAAAGAGAAAAAGCTTTCTAACTTTATATGCTTATTAAAAAGAATAAAATATTCCAAAATATTCTTAACATTATTGATCTAGTAAAAGAAATTGAGTCTAATGGCCTTTCGGGTAAGGAGGTGTTGCAGCTAGAAAAACTTAAATGCTATACCTTTTGGGGTTTGTTTCAAGGACTAATCCTGATGTAATTCTGAAATATCAGGATGCTTTAGGATTACATATTTCTATTTATATATATATGTTTATGCACCTATTACATATATAGTTATATATGCTTATACACATATGCATATGTTATTTATAACTTATATTATACGTAAATATATGTAATCCTCATATGTTGCATATAATTTATATTTAGGCTTATGTTATATACATTTAACATATTGTAATAAGTTATATTGTAACATATACTATATATGTTTATACGTAGTAAAATTTATATGCTTATACATATGGTCTATAGAATGGGATACTAGAAAAGAGTTTTTAAAAACCTAATTAATTTGTTTGGAGAAATATAGATCTTGAAATATTCTGTTTTTAAAATAAGTAAACTAGAGAATACAGCTAAGCCATTTATGTTTTAAAAATACATGTTAAAAATAATATTTTTCCATGGGGCTAAGTATGAGTGCAGAAAGTATTTTAAACTATTTTTTAGTGAAGGATTTTCACCAAATTTCAATGCTGATTACTCTGGAGAAGGGAAGGAAGGAGGATAAAGACTCCTTTTGACCACGGGAACTGTTGCTTTATTTCTAATGTTCAAGGTTTTAAAGAAAATGCAACTATAATTTTAATATAAACATTAAATTCTTAACTAAGTAAATAGCAACTGAAAGCATGTCTGAAGGTCCTACCTCTCTGGCTTCTCAGTCTTCACACCCTACATCACTGCGGGTGCATTGCTATGGCTCAGACTTAGACACTGAGGGCCGCAGTGGTCCTCTCTAGCTGCGCTTGAACTTGAACCTGGATGTGCACAGGGTGGCAGAGAAGCAGGAAGAGCCACTGAGTGTCCAGGCCTGCCTTGGCATGCCTTTGCTTTGCAATTACAATGTCCAGATTCATTTGGGACAGGAACGTCACCATTTGAATAAATGGACTATAAATAGTGTTATAGCCGAAATAGTAAATGTCTGCAAAGATTAACACACGAATTTAATGACTTCTGATGCTTTTTATTAACTGTGAAAAGTGTTCTAGTGAACAGAGAATACACGAGAGGGAGA